GAGATACTTCAATTGCCAAAGCAAAGAAAAATTTTCAAGCTTGTAGCTAACTAGCCTCGATAGTAATCTACAACGATTGTTTAAGCCTTTGTCTTCGAATGCATTCCTTAAGGCGTCTCACGTCTGTTTAGTGTTGGTTGCCTTCTTGATATGAATCAGACAATGAGGTTTTATCATTAAACAAATCTTTGCTCTTGCTCGTTGGTCTCTTTTAGTACCTTGAATATCCGTAGCATCGAGTGTGACACTCGTGTACTCCCATAGGTCCGCATCTATAAGGTACATCTCCATCTGGAACTTCCATGTTGAGTAGTTCGAATTACCATCAAGTTTTTCTATAACAGGCGTACTTCTCATGGTTCCAGCATATGAATCACTCGTACAACTCGAATCACTTCTGTCAGCGACTATCCTCTGATTGTCACTGGACATACTGCAACTTAGGTTTGTTTATATACAGGGTGTCCGGTAATGAATGTATCATACTGAAATGGCTTATAGCACAGCTTAAGACTGTTCCAAAACAAAATGCAAAAAAAAATCTATCCCATGTAGTACCGAAGGAATGTTTTTTTTCTTAAAAGTTAATTATTTTTACCTTATTTTAGGTTTTTGTGCCCTATAACTACAAATGAATGAATTTATTTGGTTTTTTGGTGTCATAACATTCTACGTTAACTGTGTCCTTAGATAAGCAATAAATGGTATGACTAAGTAATGTACATTTAAAAAAAAGTTTAACTTCATTTTTCAGAGAAATAATTGATTTTTTACGAAGTTTACGCGCCTTCTGTATAAAATAAAAGTATAAAAAACCTGTGTGGCCAAGTACTTTAAAATAATGTAGGTTTAATGAGGATTCCAAAATGGTATCATTTCTCATTGTATCTAATGTAAATATGAAATTATTGCTATTAATGTGCAAACGGAGTAAATTTTACTAAAAAACTATGTTTGCAAAATTGGAACATTTCTTATCCTGAATTGTTCTTGACTATTGAGTTTTGATAAAAAATAATATTAGGCATTAATAAAACTTTATTTAAAACGTATTTACAGCTAAATTATGCAAAAATCCAATCAAAGTAATTTTTCAATTCTTGTCTTTAAAGTACCACGTGTGACCGTGCCACCTGCACGATAGCCACATTCCGCTCGTCTTTTGTTCATATGATAAGAAAGGTCAGAGTTGGACCAGAGGCAAAGAGTGACAATTAACAGTAAATGTAAAAAAAACCGAAAAGGATTTAGTGCATCATTCGATTTGTTCGGTTTTGCACGTGTTTTCTGTTCCTTTGCGATTTGCTTTCAATCAGTGTTCAACTACGATCTGGCTATTTTACTGGACTATAGTTTTGATTACTGATTTGGACTGTGTTTGTTTGGTGATATTTGCGACGACTTGGCTTGTTTCTGGACTGAACAGGTATTTTGTGTCTGTGAATAAAAATGCCACGTACTCAGTATACGCCACAAGATTATGCAAACATGCATATTATTTATGGGGAATGCGGTACCAGCTCAAGAGCAGCTGAAGCTCTTTACAGAGAAAGATACCCTAACGCACGTCACCCATCTAATGCCGTATTTATAAGACAATGTTACTCAGAAGGAAGAATGCCTGGTAGTGGTGTTGGTGGCACTAGCGCTGGAAGAGCACCTCGTGATGGATATGAAGAGATGGTTCTTGAAGAAATTCGGCAAGATCCTTCCACGTCGACGAGAGCAATAGAACATGTATATAAAAAACAGTAGCAGTACATATATCATTTAATATTTATAAATTTTAGTGTTTTTATTTTGCGATTTTTGTGTAATATTTTACTTTTACTAATTTGAAATGTTTTTGACTATTGGCTCAAAAGGCAAAGAACCCAAAGCTGTAAAAACTATAATAAAAAAAATGTAAAGGAACCTATAAACTATCACATATAAATATTAATTAGAATGCTAATTTATTTAGAAGATATCCTGAGTAACTCTGAATTTGAACATGCCTTATTAAGCTGCGTCATAATAAAGAATAAGAAGGGAACGTTTTTACATTTTACGTATGTACAGTCACGTGTAAAATAATACGTGTCCACTTAGCGAAATTCACAAATTCAATTATCATAGATATATTATAAATAGCAGTCCCATTTTGGCAAATCATTGGCCTAGAAAATACTTGACTGCTACCGATTGTACCTACGAAAACAATAATTTTTTAAATGGTTAATTTAAGTCGTATAAGTAGCAGTAGAGCGCCTTGTGAAAGAGTTCATCCAGGGTAGTTATGCCATCTTACCTATTTCTACCGCCAAGCAGTAATGTCAGCATTACTGTGTTCCGGTTTTAAGGGTAAGAGTGCTGATGAAATTACAGGCACATGGGACTTCTCAACATGTCTGAGTGACGGGCGCAATGGCAGTGCCCCTCAGATCTTTGCGATTTAAAGCGAGTCAAATATCCGTTTCAAATAGCAAAAGATAGAGCATAAAATTCTCTTTTAAGAACAGTTACATTTAGTTAACGTATTTGACTTATCGGAACTTACCCTAACGATGCGTGGCTGAAATATCATTAAACAATTCCAATATTCTAAAACTGGGTTTTGGTTTTTTATGATATCTCAAAAAATATTTTGTCACTAGACGCATTTCAGTTAGTGGACGGCAGTGTTATGGATACTCGTGTAGTTTATCATCAGGCGCACGACTTGTTCGTCCCGTCACTTAATATTATTTAAAAAATCTCACCTGTTGAAAAGAGACCGTGAGGTCGACGGCGGAGCATACACAGCTGTATAGGTGAAGGCGAGAGTGAACAAGCATTGTATATATCACTCTTTCCTTGAAAAGGCCCAAGATATAGTGTTAAGGGAACAAATCTGCAGGTAGGGAATTCCACTTAGTGCCTTATAAAATGTGGAGGCGTAGAGTCGATTACTGCCGCGCGGAGCCAACCTTTTTGCTGCCCACTCTATTTTCACAATTACAAAAGCAGTTCGGACAGGTTCGTCTCGATGGCTCGATTGTGTTGGCCTGCCGTCGCCATCTTTGTGTTGTTCAGTTTCTGTTTTGAATTAAAAAAAAAACTTTGACTAACTATAGCGCTCGGCCACACTCGCCGCCCCGCGCCCATTGCCATGCCGCTCGCAGCCACGGCCCCCTCTGCACCCCCCACGCTATGCCACTGGGTATATTCTCAACACAAGGGTGGAACCTTAACTTACGTCTAGTACCCTGATGATAAAAAACCTGTATCTATTTGTTAAAATTATTTCGTATTTTCTATATAATCTCAATGATCTTATCGTCGCCTTGCAGTAAAAACCCCCATTATACGCGTTTTCACATAGTTCGTTTTTAATGATTTTTGTTGTAGAAAAACTTATAAACTTCTTGCTCAAATTAAAGTAATCTATTATCTGAGAGAGGTATAATTTAACTGATTATAAAATGTTAGTTACAAACATTGCGTTACTTCATTTTACACCACATTTTTATCTTCGTCCTGAAAAATTACATAGAAATCTCATATGAGATTTTCTCTCTAAGACGACACGTTATACACTGCGTTATACTATAATCATTAGTTTTGAAATTATTAACATAATAACATTTTGTTCAATTAATATACAGTAATTACTTATTTGTTGTGCAAGATAGTAAATTTGTTATTTGACGCGAGTGCTTGTACTCGCTCCGCTCGTGGTTCAAAAATAGAATCGTGAGCGTGAGGGTTTCAAGGCACGTGACGCAAAACAAATCTGCTGCCGAGCGAAACACACTACTTTGCACCTCACTATAGCGAGGAAAATGGTAGATGAACGAAGAGCAGTTGGACTATACTATAACAAATCAGTTTTAATAAACAAAATTAGTTATCGTTGTCAATTTAATGACAACAATAACAAGAACAAAATATACCAACGGATTTATATTACATAAATAATGTACGACAAATCGTTGAACGTGTCATTGTTTTTTTTTCATCGAATGAAAAAGTTAGGTGCACCACAGTCCATCGTCAAGTTCGAATTTCAAAAACCTTTTTCACGCTAGCGTGGATAAAATGCTTTTGCGCGCAGATTTCTAATTAAAAAGAAAGCCAAAACAAATTATAAAGGAGTCGCCATATTTAACGACTTCACTTTGACATATGAGCATCAACGTCTTTTTCGCACTTATTGCAAGGAGATAAAGGTTTTTTGACCGTCTCAAACCGATTCCGCGTCCATAAGTTTGATGACTCCCTAATATTACAATTGAAATGTCCAAAACTTGAAACAAAAGTTAAATCTGTGCTCATGGATATTTGGAGGAATCTTAAAAATAGGTTAATTATCTACGTAACACTATTACAAAAAGAATTCCCTTTAAGCCACGAACGCACCAGAGCAAGTAAACCAGTTTTGAGGAATTCGAATTTAGCCCTCATCGAAATGTTCTTTTAAACGTCGAGCAAGTAATAATTCTCCTTGTGAAAGAGTTCGTCCAGGGAAGTACTGCCACCTTACCTATTTCTGCCGCGATCAGCAATGTGAGCATTACTGTGTTTCGGTTTTGAAGGGTAAGAGTGCTGATGAAATTACAGGCACATGGGACTTATCAACATATGTCTCAGAGTGACGGGCGCAATGGCAGTGCCCCTCAGATCTTTGCGATTTAAAGCTCTGCAGTCCACTAGACGTGTTGGTAACATTACATAAAAGCAAATGGTCTATCTGGCGATTCACACTTTAAGGTAACGATTTATGGTTGAAGCCACGTAACTATGTAATTTTTTTTCAAAGTCAATTTTCTAATTTTACCTAAAAATTACATTTCAAATTACCTAACTTTATTGAGATTGGTTTTCTCAAAAGTACCTACCAAAGAATCCTGACTTTACCCATTCATAAATAAGATCAGAAGGGGTATTCAAACACGAATTGCAAATTCATTTTCCGTATATTCACGTCAATTGATTGAAGCAATAAAAATGAACTCATATACCCTTATAAAATTATAATAATTTACAATACTAATATATCATTTAACTCTTGCACCGCTACATCTACCTACATCGTAGGTGAATATGGGCACTGTGATGTTGCACGTAGAGTTGAAAACCGGTTTCTTTAGCCACCAGCAACTTTGGGTTTCCCCTTAAATTCCATCATTGATTGTGGTCCCTTCATTACGCGACTCATCAGATCCCAGCACATCTTCGCTGGGAGGAGACTGAAAATACAAGTTAAAAAATTAAATTGTGCAAACATGACGCGGTACATAGTTTTTTTTTTGGTGTAAGCTTTCAAACATGTAAACAATGGATTTTTTTTTATTTGTAAATATACACCTTATTTATAAATATACAATTAAGGTCTAAATAAAATTCTTAACGCAAACGCGGTAGTTAAGTTTGAAAGATTACAAATTTACATTCGGGCCTCAGATTTCTTTACATTTTACTGTTCATAACTAACATATTAAAGATTAATGAATATTTATATATAATATAGCCTTTCGCTACATGGATAGACTTGGGAAAAACTTATTTTTTAAATATTAAAAAGTTGTGCTTTTTGTAAACGCTTTTCACTTAAAGGACTTTTTGTTTGAAGCTTGCAAAATCGTTTCGAAAAAGGTTTAAACCGCATAGACTTTTATGTTAAAGTTTGTAACGTTGTGTTGATAGCGCAAAGCGAGAGTAGACCACTAAAAGTTTTGAGATAAGTAAGTTTATTTATAAAACACGAGTCTTATTTCTATTTATACAATTGTTATTCACATTGATGAATTAATTCGTTTAAGAAATATAGATGGCGGGACTTGAAACATACATGCTTATTTTAAAAAGCAAACTTTTCGTTGTGAAGTACCTTTCGCTTAAATGCCCACCTCTGCACATGTACTCTTTCCGTTGTAATAAAACGAACACGAGCAATCGCGCGCGAAATAACTTTAGTTTAAAAAACTTCAAACTAGTGATATACCATGAAATATACCTTGGCTATTATCTTAATAAATAAATCTTGATGTTTATATAATTAATTTGATCTACAAAATAGTACCACTGGCAACGTTGTGCCTTGTGCTTGTATCCGAGACGTATACAAACATAAAAACAGATGTAAAATCAAACTTGAATGTCAATCGCATTAACAAACCAAATCGCTTTTCTAAGATTTTTCTTCGTGCTTTCTCACCTTTTCGTCGCCTTACTTTCTCAAACTAGTATCTCAAAAACAAAGTAACTCAAGTGCAAAAAATGCATCGCTTATACAAATTTGCAAGCTGATTTCACTTCATATTCGCACTCTGGCTTTTAACTATTCTTAGGATCGTATTCTAGAACTCTACTCAATGCTCTAGTCAGGATTTGAGTAAGGTTTAAAGCACTCGAAATCATACTCAGGTCCCTGCTATTAGGGTCGTATTTCCAGTGCTTGTGTTTCCAGTGTAATCCTGACTTGAGCATTGAGTAGAGTTCTAGAATACGACCCTTAAAGTAATGCATCCAAATTAACAACCTTGGTAAGGAATTTAAAGTAAATAGAAATTTTTGCCATCTTCTAAATAATCATTCTTTATAAGATACGTGTTTAGAAAGTAAGATACGGGTTAGAAAATAAGGCATTGATTTGTCATTTTCGGTCAAAAATTTGAAAGAGACAAAGCTATGAATGGGCATGGATAATTATCGGATATGGTGTAACCGGTTGATATCCGCAACTCGACGACTAAACGCCAATTTTACGTGTAATTATAGGATATGAATATCGGATAATTATCGTGACATAATAATTTGATAATATCAACATATTTTATGTATAATATAAAGTCTTATGACTTTAACGCGAATTAAGGAGACTAATTACTTGATAACATACATACCACTTGAGAGGCAACAAGTATCTGACAGATCCCGGCATAATACAGTTAACCTCGTTTTTGCGGATAGAGTCAATCATGGTCTGTGCAACATATTCTGGCTCTAACATTGGCATAAGCCTTGGAGTGACACCGTCAAACATGCCCGTATTTATATAGTATGGACAGACTAGAGTCGCATGGATCGTGTTGTGGCCGTGCGCCTGGAAAGACATAGGTTTACTTATTACATTATACACAGTACAAAACAATAACATCCTTACAATCATGGACCTTGCCCCCTGGCGAAATCCTCTAATTACTAATAAACACCTTTAAATATATGTATATTTTAATTGCAACCGTGCGGAAGCTGTGATAGCCTAATAGTTTGACCTACCACCTCTCAAGCTGAGGTCGTGGGTCCGAATTTTCGAAAGTTCGGGCTAGCACATCTGGGTTTCTCGGAATTTTATTTAATTTGAAATTTACAAAATTATAAAAAAGAAACGAACCTTCGAAATAAAACTATACCAATACGACTCTGGAAAGGTCAAGCATCATAACGTGAATTTGGAAAATATTACAGGAGAGCGATTTAAAGTAATTGTTTTAAGAAAAAAAATCATAACTCTTAATTTTGTTTGTAGTTAAGTTTATTGAATATTTCACCACCATCATATTTATTTATTTTTTTGTTAAATAACTCCACCAGTTTGTTATAATTATCAATACAAAGATCGAACACTCAGAAAAAATTTCTACGATCCGGCGGGATTCAAACCAGCGTCTTCTAGCAAACCGTGGCAGGCGCTATGCTAAATAAGCCACGGAATGAACCAGCGGACCTTACGAATTTTTTTGTGTGCTTATTGCAGATCTTTGTTTTTGGTTTTTAACGATATTTTTGCCGTAATGCGTGAAGTCATACTCAAAACCTTGCTATTAGGATCGTATTTCCAGTGCTTGAAATCATAGTCAAGTCCTGACTTGAGCATTGAGTAAAGTTCTGGAATACGACTCTGAGGATCGTATTCTAGAACTCTACTCAATGCTCAAGTAAGGATTGCACTGGAAACACAAGCACTGGAAATACGACCCTAATGGCAGGGACTTGAGTATGATTTCGAGTGCTTTGAATCATACTCAAGTCCTGACTTGAGCATTGAGTAGAGTTCTGGAATACGACCCTAGGACTCCTTCGTTAGCTCAAGTTTCAATACAAGCACTCTAGTCAAACAACAACTTCGCAGTCTTGCATTACAAATAACTTATATGGAAAAGCTGAAACTTCGTAGTTTTCCATAAAAAAAATCAGAACGGAGATCTATGAATAAATAAATTATGAATTATGATTTTTTTCTCAAAAAAATACTTTAAATCGGTCTCCTGTAATATTGTCCAAATGCACTTTAGACGTTTTACCTTTCCAGAGTCGAATGTATTTTTTCATATGATTTTGTATTTCGTCATCTAAGCATAGTCGAGCGGCATATTTGGCAAACATATTTTTTTTTTTTTTTAAATAACGCACACACTCAACATAGCCCCGCACTAGGGAATCCCTGTGTCGCGGGTGCCATGGACACACACATAGACAACCACAAATTACACCCAAACTCACGAGAGATATAATTGTAGGCCATACAACTATTTCTCTCGGCCCGGGAATCGAACCTGGGACCTCTGCGTGGCAGTCCGGCATGGTAACCGTTCGGCCACGGAGGCAGTTAACATATAAATAACATATAAATGGACTAGTGACGTAGTGAAGTGACAGAGTGACAATTCTTACCCTCAATTCAGTAAATAGACTCTCATGGAACCCGACAGTGGCAAATTTGGTAGCACTGTAGTCAGTGCAGCGGTAGGTCCCGAGCAGGCCTGCCACCGAACCCACGGTGACGATGTGGCCTTTGCCCGACTCGATCATTGCTGGCAGGAACGCCCTTACTGTCTAAATGGAAAAGGGATGAGTTGATACTAGATAGTTATAGGCCCTCATTCGTCACCACTGGCTTTGTTCCCATTGGCGACAAATGGGAAAAAACCCATATGTTACCAGGTGGTGACAAACGGAATAAAAAAAAAATTATTTGTTGCCTGTGGTGACAAATGGGGAAATAAAAACCCATATGTTACCAGGTGGCGACAATCGGGACAAAAAATTTCTCTTTTCTTACTAGTTACACGAAATCATCGAAATTACTTCCGCATAAATATTAATAGGTTTAGAATTAAGTGTCAATGAGTGAAAGTGTTTAAACTAATTGTTTGCACTATACAGCTAGCACATGCGTCACCGAGACGGCTCACTGTTTTGTCCCCTATTGTATTCTAAAGGTAAGACGAATCGGTGCAAATAATTTTTCGCCAACTATACCACTGGTAACTGGGACTGGTAACTACTGGGATATCTTAAATTCCATTGGTCGCCAGTGGCAACAACATATCTTTTTATCCCATTTGTCACCACCAGGTAACAAAGGAGTTTTTTTTCTATTTGTCGCCGGTGGGAACAAAGCCAGTGGTGACGACTGGGAATAAACGAGAACGATCCAAGCAAAAGGATCGGAGATGTTTATTTGTATGCTGGTTGTAAGGTTAATAAAGTATTTTTGTTATTGGCTTTCTGCGATTAGTCTTTCCGCCATTTACAAGGTTGTTCATTTTTGTCTTTAAAACGTTGAAACTTTGCGATCGAAGTACTAGTAACAGGAGTTATCTAGTTTTTTATTATTGCCAAAATCTGTTTGTGTTTTGCTGAAACTTTAGATATTCTTTTATAAATGCATAGTATTAAATATTTTTTATAAGCGTATCGTCATTGGTTTAAAAAAAAGATGTTCAGCGAATTACACGCCTGTTACAATGACATATTCAGGTGCTATTGGGATTACATTATCTAAGGGGATTACCCAGGTACAGTCAAAAGCACCTCAAGCTTGACACTTTGATGGACCGTTCTTATCGTAATCAGCATAGAGTTGGATTTAAGTCTTAAGTGTCAAGCTTGACTACTACAAAGTTTCTGGTATGTCTGTGGATGCACACACTGACTGTTCTTGTTTTAAAGCATGTTAATAAGACGCAGAATGCTGCACAGCCTCAAGAGCATATTGAGGATACCATCCCAAAGACAGGGCAATGCCTTGCACAAACATTGGGTATCAGCTCTTATAAAGCCTCATGCTGTACGTGTGTACATTTTAGTAAATTAATTTTATTGTTTTGTTCTATTGATTTCTTTTTGTTTTATAATATGTATGTGTGGTTTCTGTTGTTATTAATATAGATGTAGGTTTTCCTTGTTTTGTTTGTTTCTTTTGTACTAACATCACGGACTCTAGTGGCTTGAATCAATAAGATTTTAATTTGAGTTTATAAAGATTTTTTTAAACAGTGTAATAGTAATAGCCGAACCGAAATTCAACCGCTTTCAATTTCTTTTTTTTATTACTGCTGTTGTCGCAGACATTCTCGCGCTATATGTCGCTCTCGCGCAAGTCGCGCCCTGTCGTGCTAGCCCTACAGGTATCACAGTTTTTTCATACAGTTGATATCAACAACAAAATAGCAATCTCTGATTGAAAGAAATAGGAAGCGCTGAAATGACGCTGCTGAAATATATGTACCGCAAGGCTTGGATTGAGAGCAATAATTATTGGAAATGGGTTTTCCTAGAAAAAGCTACTCTCTTAGATGTAGAGCATAGTTTCCCAAAGTGATCCCTACCGTCCTCCAGTGGGCACTGAAGATTCCAACGGGGGCGGTAAGGGCCTCGGAAGCAATTGGGGGGCGGAAGCAAGTCGATACTGTCCAGGGGGTATTACCGTATTTGAAAAAAAACACCTGAATGATCTATATAATGAAATTACAGGCACATGAGACTTGTCAACTTCGTCGTATCTACTGTCACATTGTCTATTTCTGTCTTAGAGGATGGAAAGATTTCTGCCGCCAAGTAGTATTGTGATCGCTACTTTTTGAAGGGTAAAGCATGGAACACACTGAGGGTCGTATAATATAATAATAATAATAATAATAATAATAATAATAATAATAATAATAATAATTCTTTATTTCATAAAAGATTTGTACAGGATGTAACACGTAATCTGTAGATACATATGAAATTTTAACAGAATAACTCGTACAAATTAATCTAT